TTACAAACACCCCACGTGAATGACTGCAACGGAACATAAACATAAGTAATTGGATTACAACATTAATATACAAAGGAAAAAGAGTACAAGTCTTTTTGTTGTGGTATGTTATGATAGGGAACTATTTCCCAGTCGTGCAAATTAATTGATTTTTTAAGTTTAACCAAATCTTTCTTGACCGAAGAGTCAATGCATGACTGTATGCCTTCCACCTAGTGGATGGTGAGATACATTTTAAATTTGATCAACCTGTAGTTGTAGTTCAGTACACAATAGGCGGTACGTGATACGCAGAAGATCTATACTAACCAATGCCTTCTCTAGGTCTTTGTCTCGAATTCCTGATTTGACGCCTAAAGAGTTAAGGATCTGTACCTCTGTCTTTATAAAATCTAGCACTACGAGAGCCCAGTGGTAGTTAATATGCATTGGCACAAAAATCTAGAAAAAATAATTGAAAACTATTGAATGCATGGCTAGAACACTTACGACATGCACTACTTTTGCAAATTGTGCAGTCTGGAAGAATTTTTTCGCCTAAGTATCATCAACAAATTGTCCAGACTGTACAATTTGCAAAAGTAGTGCACGTCGCAAGTGTTCTAGCCATGCATTCAATAGTTTTCAATTATTTTTTGCAGGTTTTTGTGCCAATGCATATTAACAATAACCGTTGGGCTCTCCTAGTGTTGAATTTTATAAAGACATGTACATATCCTTAACTTTTAAGGCGCCAAATCAGGAATGCGAGACAAAGACCTAGAGAAGGCATTGGTAAATACAGATCCTCTACGTATCACGTATCACCTATTGTGTATTGAACTACAACTACATTTTGATCAAACTTAACATGTATTTAACCATTCACTAGGTGGAAGGCATATAGTCATACATTGACTCTTTGGTCAAGAAAGACTTGGTTAAATTTGAAAAACCAATTAACTTGCGTGAATGGGAAATAGTTCCCTATCATAACATACTACAACAAGAAGACACATACTCTTTTTCCTTTGTATATTAATGTTGTACTCCAATTACTTATGTTTATGTTCCGTTGCAGTTATTCAAGTGGGGTGTTTGTAATAAAATATTTGCTGGCATGGGACGAAGAACAAATGGCTCAGGATTTCACAAATGTGAGTCTTATAGTTATTGTCAATTCCAAATTGCTAGACTGAAAGAAAAAACTGCTATGTGACGTGCACTACTTTCGCTTGTATAGACAGAAATGGATAATTTTAGCTTCAGAATATGCACGAGGCCGCTCCACTCTGAGCGCAACCTAAAACACTTGCGCTCATACAAAAAACCTATCATGGTCTATGCTTTTACTGCATATTAGAATCTTTCAGTTGGAACAACTTGTTTCGGACTGCACAAAATAACCAAGTCTATCTAACATTTTTTTATGATGATACTTAGACGGAAGAGTACTTTGCGAACAATCCGGCGGAGGAACAACGGGGGCACGAACAGGATGAAGATGCAGACGATGTGCAGATAGTATCGCCGTCAACGGGAACTCCAACAACCGCTGCGGCTAGCATGAAAGTAACTCCATCATCCTCTGCGCCCAGCATGAAAGGAAACAAAGGAACGATAGGAAAATGAAAGGAGGGGAAGGAAATACAGCATCAGGAGGAACAACATTGGGAGCTGAAAATAGGAAAAGAGGAGGAGGACGACCGCGAAAGATTGACCAAACTCTTGTCACTAAAACTGTCATGGATCAATGTAGCACCGAATATATGACTAAACGAGCTAAACTAGCGCGAGGCGCAGACAAAAGGGTCATCAATCCAAGGCCATATGATGGTAGCCCTTGGAAGAAATAATGGTATAGCAGGTTTAATGCAGTGAGCACCAATTTACCTGCTCGAACCATTACCATTTCCACCGCTGGATAATACACAATGATTAGATAGTGACTGCGATTTTCACTCCCAGCTCTAATTATTATTGGCACTACGACCTTCAATCTTCAAACAGGGGGTCAAACTTCTTATCACCGCCGGCTTCTAATTGCGTCGTGCATTGGGTGAATCGGCAGTGCTAAGTGTTTTCACCACCGGTTCAGTTTATGATATGTTGGCGGAGACATGCACTGGTTTCGCCACCAAACTATATGTCGCACCGGCGGTGAAAAGGTTCAGCACCACCGTTATGTCATCCTTCTGCACCCCCTCTTCCTATATATGATCCAGTGGTGAAATACATCATTGACGGTTCTCACATAACTGCGGTGGAAGTCCCGCCGGTGATCCTTCTTTCTATATAGCAGTGTTTCAAGTGAAAATAATCATCAACTTATTAATTCCTAGCATCACTGAAATGAAAATCGTCAGGAGAGAGTACAATCCGTGCCTCATGTCTATGCTACAAGGCCATCAGCAGATAACAACCTATATCATTAATTCATTATTGCTATGAAGTACTGTGTCTTGCACCGCAATGCTGATGAAGATCTTAAGAAGATTTCAAATTGGGACAACCAAGCTCACAAGAGGACCCAAAGTCAAGCATCCATTTCTCATGAGCCCAACCTAGTCACTAGGTCATTGGCCAGTTCCTTGACCATATTCATCACCTCATCATTGGTCTTGCCTGCTATCTTGCACCACATACTGTTCATTGAATCATCACGACAAACATTTGTCAACTCATCTCCACTACAACCTTCTGTCTCCCAAGCAACATCATTGATGTTAACATCCGCAACGATCTGCCTTGTAAAAGGAACTGAAGTACAACAATAAGCCACTAGAATGAAAGATACGGTGTTGTAATTATTGATAATTGAATTATACCATGCATCGAAGTTTTTCTGAATCTAATTAATGTACCATGGAACAATAGTAATGAGCATATTAGTTGGAGGAAAAGTATCAGGGGATGTTGAGATAAGTAGATATTTTTCATGGGCTTACATATGTCATTACAAAATAAGAAAACAATGGTTATGATGCAGTGTGTAGCCAATGGTTTTAGAAAATTAAATACCAACAATTTTGACATGTGCAGGAATGGCATGGTATGTCATCTGATCAAAGCAATTTGTTTACAAAGACAACAAATGAAACTAAGGATAGGGGACACTTTAAAATATCATAAGATGATGTAGAAATATATCTATACATGTACATTTCTGAGATTAATATTGATGTGAGTGCCTTTCTACTTTTGAAATCTGCAAGTGGAATATAAATACGCTTCTCCAGCCTTCGCCTGAGTAAAATCAAGAGTCAACATAACACACATTCACGTGAATGCTGTTCACATGAATGTGTTATATTCTCTTGATTTTACTCGGGCAGAGGCTGGAGAAGCGTATTTATATTCCACATCTAGATTTGGAAAGTAGAGAGACACCTATCAATATTAATCTCAAAATAGAACTGCTAGTTAATCACCTAATGCGCAACACAATTAGAAGCCGGGGGGATAAGAAGTTTAACTGCCGGTTTGAGGATGGTCAGATTAAACGTGTTTTTTGACAAAATAGAGCGGACATATGCAATGCTTCCACTTCCCTACTCGTTTTTCTATTCTTCTCCCTCTTTTCTTCTTCCTCTCCTTTGTTAATGGTGAAAATTGTAGGAGCGCTGGGTCCTGCCCTTGATGAAAATTACACGCTAGGTCATGTTGCCAGCATAAAAAACGTACAAACTACCTACCACTGTGGACAGTTCAGAATAAGATTTTCTTTTTCAAATCACATGGAACAAACACTCATATAAATATATGCAATGAAAGCACACTCACCTTGACAGGCACGTTGCCTATCGCTAAAAGAACACACCATTAGTACCCATACCAAGTCGACGATTTAAACCTGAATGGATAGGTTCGACCACAAGGAACCTTATCAGCTGCAAAAGTTCAGAATCAGCTTGCCAAGTCACACTTCCATCGTATTACTATATATAAAAATGAATTTTGGAGTTGTTGCTTCTGTCTCAGAGGCAATTATCATTTTGGCCGCCCTTAGACTGTCTCCAACAAGTGACCCGCACCCAAACACAAAATGGGTAATAAGAGACCCAAAATCAGCCTCCAATAGACTATCTATACGGAAGACCAATTTTGGGTTTCCTAAGAGGCACAACCCAAATATGAGCATCATCTCTCCTGGAAACCTATTTGCAGAAATGATTCTCTTTTGGGTCTTATTGTTGGAGAAGATGCCGAATGGGTATTGAACCATTTGCCCGTAGTGCTACCCAAACGTCAAATGGGTCTTGTATTTTGGGTGTTGATGGAGATAGTCTTAGAAATGTCATTCGATAGACTTAGCTAATGAATACACCAAAAATATGTTTCTAGGGGTGCTTAGTAATATATATTAGAAATTAGAAACTGGAGGCGTGTGATCCCTACAGGAATTATGTTATTGAGAGAACAAACCAGTACAAATTAGAAAGAAAGAAAAGAGGACTTCAGGAAGCAAAGAAAGAGACAGAATAGATAAAGAAACAACAACAACCTAAGTTAAGCTCACAACCCATTGATCAAACTTGTTGGCGAGGCTTGTCTTTACTCTGACAGAAGTGAGCTTCAATTCTTAACGAAGAGAGCCATGCAGTCTTGAACATTGGTAGGTAGCTTTGTGCACTAAACATGCATATATTTTTGACTGAACAAATGGTCAAAGTTTTTTTATATAGTGTATATATGTTTGACTTTTTTGAATTATCATATATATGCCTCACATTTTCAACTTAGCTAGAGAAAATAATATATGTTAATATTCATCCTTTGGACAAAATATCGCCCTGTTCTGGGGCACTACTTCATGATTACTTTTCAGCGAACGAATAGTATTTTCCTCTCACAACAAATCAGCATAAGCAGCAACATAAGTCAAATTTCAGCGAAACAAACAGGGCCAATGGCTTTATTATTCCTCCATTGGGCAAAGAACAAAGAATCAAACATAACTCGCTCATGGACGACTATATGTATATACTTGCATATAAATATTTTAAGATATGATACTACTACTACTCCACAACTGCAACGATCTGTTCCTCCATGATCTCGGTGGTCGTCTTGTTGATGAGCTCCAACACGCTCTGGACGTGCCTCTCCTCCTGCAGCGACGACCCCATGGCGAACTGCAGCACAAACCTGTCGCCGACCACCGTGTGTGCCAGGTACGCCTTCCCGGTCCTGTTGAGGCGCTCCATGAGCTCACGGTTGGCCTCGTCGGCGTCCTCCTTCGTCATGCTGCCGCCATGGGGCTTGATCTTGAAGCACATGAGCGCGAAGTTTCTAGGAACCACGACCTCAAACCGGTCGTCGAACCTGACACTGTCCTCGAACATCTTAGCCATGGCGACGTCGCTCCGGATGTGCTCCTGGAGCTTGGCGGTGCCATAGGTGCGCATGACCATCCAGAGCTTGAGCCCCCGAAAGCGGTGGCCGCCGCCGACCTGCATGTCCTTGAGGTCGGTGACATTGCCGGACTCGCTGGCGTTGTTCTTGAGGTATTCTGGGTTGGTCTCCAGCGAGTCGTTGAGCCGGTGCGTGTCACGCACCCACAGGCACGTGCAGTCTAGGCAGGTTAGCAGCCACTTGTGCGGGCTCATGCTTATAGAGTCGATGCGCTCCACGCCATCGAGGTGGTGCCGAAACTCCGGGTAGATACACGCACTGTCGGCATAGGCGGCGTCGATGTGCACCCACGCGTTGAACATGGCAGCGACATCGGCAATGGATCCTATAGGGTCGACGGTGTTGGACAATGTGGTGCCGACCGTGGCACAGACGTATGTCGGCACGAGGCCGGCGTCCGCGTCGGCTTGCATGACCTCGACCAGCCTCACAGGGTCGAGAGCGTAGTTCGTCTCCGGGCCGGTGGGGAGGCGCGGATGTTGACAGGGTCGAAGCCGGTGAGGCAGCATGCCTTGAAGAAGGTGGAGTGGGTCTAGTCCGCGGCATACACGGCCAAGAGTGGCAGCCCGGACACGCCCTGGGAGCCACTTCGACAGAGGGCGGAGTCACACGCGACGGCGAGCATGACGAGCATGGCCTCTCTGGTGGTTCCCAGGATAACGCCACTGCCGGTGCCATGCCCAGCGGCACCAGTGCGGTTCATGAAGCTAGACGACAGGCGCAAGAGCTGCGCGAGCCAGTCGAGTGCGAGCACCTCCATCTCGGTGGCTACGGGCGCGGCCAGCCACGTGAAGCCGACGGAGTTCATGGCAGCGGTGATGAGGTCGTCGGCGATGGCTGCGGCGCTGTTGGTGGACGGGAAGAAGGCAAAGCAGTTGGGGCTGGCCCAGTGGGTCATCCCTAGAACAACGGAGGCGGTGAGCACCTTCATGGTGACGTCGAATGGAGTGGAGGACGTGGGCGGCACGGACCGTAGCTCATTTCGCAGGTACCCTGGCATGACGTCGGGCAGCATAGGTAGGGACTCGATGGACTTGTAGTAGTCGGAGATGAAGTCCACGACCTTGTGGAGGTAGGAGCGGACGTCATCGGGGTTCAGCGGCTGGAAGCCATAGGCATCGTCGTCGAAGGCGGAGAAGGCTGTAGGGTTGGTGTCCAACCTGCCCATGGGTTATCAATCACATAACATAGCTAGGAAGTTGAAGCCAGAGGTCAAGTACGAGGCTGCAGTTAATAGGTCACTGACAGGTCGAAGGCTAAGCTCGTTCAGAGGCTCGGAGAGGCTTGGTGGGTGTCGATGCACAAACGTGTTGATGCACCTGGCACACAGCAAGCTGGAAGGATCTGCTTGATGGAGCAAGGCTGGAGATCCGCTTGACTTCAACGCAGGGCTAGCCGATCATACGAATTCCTCCCGAGGCATGCTAGTCAATTTGACCTGCAATTGATAAGGAGAGAAAGTTTATCAGTAATTTAAGGTGGAACAAGCTGGTTTTGCCCAGACAGTTCTAAGTGTGTCATTTCAGGAGCAGCCAGACGGGAAAAATCGACTAAACGGCTGATACGCGAAGAAATCGGCGATTACGGACTGTAAAGCTCATGGGTTATGATTGATCTTAAGTTGACAAGTACAATGCACGCAGATATAAGTAAAATCATCAACTAGGTAGGTATTAGCAGTGTAAGGCATTGAGCCAATGAATCTAACGAGAAAGGATATAACATGCGAACAAATCTACTGTTTAGTACAAATGGATGTACAAACGCTTTGAATCTAATCTGTTACCATCAACAGTGAGGTTCGACCGAATCGATGGCAGCTATGATGATAATAACAAACTAAAATCGAAGAATCCGTAAAACCAACTATACATTGACAGGCTTTCCAAAGGACATATGTGTGAAAGCTTAAGCGGATCGGCTGAAATAAGCCGATTCAGATGGAAAAGGGACTGCAACATGTAAACAAGCGACTATGTAACATGGACAAATCTATGAACTCATCAGACTTAATCTACTATCTCTAACAGTGGGGTTTGACCGGATCGATGGCAGCCGTGATAAAAACAACAAATCAAACCTTTAAAGTAAACAGATCTATTCACATTTAACAGAATCATGGAAACACACCGTAGGCGTTAAAGTGCGGGCGATCGGCTATTTAGCCGATGCAGGCATAGCAAACAGTCAAGGTCACGCCTGATCAAAAACAAATCTACCAACTAGCATCCTCTGATCTAAAGTGCCATTCAGTGGGGATCGACCAGATCGTTACAGCCATAATAGTGAACTATAGACCATAATTAACTAGCCAGTAAACCTCCTCAAGATCAGATATGCCTTAACTGCATACTATGCAGGATCAAGATCGAAGTAGAACAGCCGATGAAACATAACCTGACGCTCAAAGTAAGAAACATCGTATTGTAACAAAGCAAACGACGGACTAAAAGGATATGAGGCCGATCTAGATCGATCTCGACTGGACAGGTTGATGTTGCTGAAAACTAATAACAATAAGAACATCAGCAAGATCGGTAACTTAATGAATCTACCCGAAGAATGCCACCCTTAGGCAGAGCCGATAACTTGACCTTGATCTAATTCGAGCAGTGGAGGTCGAACTTAACCGATGCAGCCGTACTTGAACTAGATAAGGATCGATAACTAGCTTATACTAGAGTTCGCAGTGGAGATCGAACTTAACCAATGCAGCCTAACAAACGGAAGTATAAGCCATGAAGGTACTTACAGACAAGCCGGAGGTCGGCTGGACCGATGCAGCCCTGCTTGTTGAAGAACTTGCCGAGATCTACACTACTCCTATTTCTAAGGGTTGGTGTAAAGCCAAAAAAAAGTAATTTGTATTGATTGGATTGATGTCGTCTTTACAATAGCTGGGGTCCAATATTTATACACGGAGCCTAAGCATGAATCCTACTCAAGTGCGGCTCATTACAATCTTTGGTATAAAAAATATTCCTAACTTAAGATAACTTGGACCCTAATATTTTCCTTTTTTAGATTCCGACATGTATTTCCCGACATCAACCGTAACTCATTGTCATTATCTGCTGACGTTATTCAAAAGAGCCGATTCCAGTGCCGCATCTGAATCAGTTGATATCGATTCGTATGCAATCGATTCCATGATTGACACAATCTTGGAAGTTTCGAGTTCCTGCATTCTTCCTCCCAAATTTTGGTGTAAACAGTGGGGAAGAAGGCAGAAGTTAGGGTTGGGCTATATAGGCATGCAGATGGAGGAAGAGGCAAGGCAGCAAGTGAGTGGCGTGGGGACGAGGGCGTCGGCGGGGTCGTATGTGCGACTGCTGCTCGGGGGGGACGAGGTTGGTAGGAGACGAGAATTGGCTCCGGGCTCCGGATGTGCCAAGGCACGCGTGCTAGTCTAGTCACGCGGTGTATGTATATGCATGGGTCATCGTGTCGCGCGCTGGCATGCGATCTCCGGCGACCCGGCGTGTATGTATGGACTAGTAAACGTGTCGATCAGCTAATTAATCTATCGTGATATATCAACTCCACTATCCATTTGTGTGTTTTATTTGGAATTTGTTTCTGTTATTAGAGAGTGTTGGTAGGTAGGGTAGGACTTTTCCATCTGTCACTTTAATTTCCATTGTGTGCCAATTTTACTCCTACTTTTAGTATGAATACTTCACTTCTGCTTTATATATAAAAAACTTGAGGTGACTCACGGTCTCGGCTACCCCCTTAACAATATTCATATAGTGATTTAGAGCATCTTCGGTAGCTCATCAAAAAATCCCATTCCCAATAAAATAGTATTGGTGAGCATCAATACTGTTTTTTTAATCTACTGGAGGGGGCGTGGGGATATTTTTATAGATCACGAGTACCAATCACCAGTTCTCCTTTTCTTTTTCTTTCTCTTTCTCCCCCACATGGTCTTCTCTGTCGTCCCTCGCCATCTTTATCATCTCTATCGCCCCTCGCCATCTTCATCTTCCCTGTCGCCGCAATGCCCTCTTCAACCACTCCACAACCGCGCCGCGCCTCGACTGCGGCCCCTCTCTGGCTCCTCCACCGCTAGTATCTTCCCCAGCCCCTCTCCATCCTCGTGGAATGTCGTTGCCTTCCTCGCTTCCGCCACGCCTCTCCATTATGGAAAGCCGCTGCCTTCCTTGCTTACGGTGCACCTCTCTCTTCTACCACGATGCAGTCTCCAAGGCCAAGGTCACCTTTGCATGCTCAGTGCTGCGCAAATGGATCTCAATGTCCGTGGTTGGGCCTAGCGCGTGCGGCGCATGCTCGAGGCAGCGGCGGTCAATTGGCTCGGTGAACTACTAGCCTGGGAACGAGGAATTTGACGGTTGAGATTGGTGTGGTGTATTGGTGAAGGTCTATCTTCCCCTCTATTTTGGGGAGTTGGGTGAAATATTGGTGACCACCATAACAAGGGGATGAGAAAGGGCACTAGTAGAGAAACGATCTTTGATCCAGCTCGAAATTTGGCTTTAGTCCCGGTATTTTTCATGCCCGGGACTAGAGAGACCTTTAGTCCCGGTTTGTAGCTCCAACTGGGACTAAAGGTCCCTGCCCAACGGCTATTGTGGCAGGCTTTTGCTGCAGGGAACCTTTAGTCCCGGTTGGAGCTACCAACCGGGACTAAAGGTTAACTTTTACTCCCGGTTGGTCCCTCCAACCGGGAGTAAAAGTCTACTCTCGGCTGGAGGCTCTGTCCGGGACTAGAAAGGGACCTCTAGTCCTAGTTTCTGTCTCCAACCGGGACTAAAGGTCCCCTCCTATATAGCCCTTGTTCCTCCCCGAGCCCGAGCCACTTCGAGCTCAGTGTTCTTGCTTCATCGCCGGCCTCTCTTCTTCCTCATCACCGGTGTATCACAAGATTTCTTCCATTCCTCCATCGATTCTTCGGTTCTAAAGGTTACAAACTTTATACTCTCATGTTTCATCAGTAGCTTATTTCATTTTGTGGACTAGATATATGTGGGTTTTTTTATGGTAGATTTTTTTTTATTTGTAAGCCATTTAAGCTCAAAATCACTTTAAAGTTTGCGTATTTGGATGAAGGAAGGTTAAAGTAGTTATTCAAAACTAGTATTGAGTTTTCATTTCTAGCATGCATAGCACACTTCTTGGTTTAGAGATATAGAGAATTTTAGAGTTTTTTTATTTTTATTTGTTTATAAAATGAGAAATTTATATTATATTAAAAATGAGTATAGAGAGTAGATGACAACTGCTTCCGGCTCCTCGGCCTCTCATCGGATTCCAAAGCGACTAAGGCCGGACCTTCCTCTCATTGCATGCGGCAAGTGTGAGGAGAAGATTGTGATGGAGTACCGGGTGAGGAAGGAGTGTCCCAACAAGGGCCGTGTCTTCTACAAGTGTCTGGATCGCAATGTGAGTTATTTTGTCGCATTTGATGATTATGGTTAATTTATACTTATTTTCATGATGATTGTGATTAAAGTTCTAATTTTTTGTTTTAATTTTAGTGGGATGGCACTGGATATTCAGGCTGGTACTGGGAGGAAGAGTATGTTGAACACGTGCAAAACTCTCTTGCACATGCGGCTACGGCGGCTGATGAGGCAGTGATCCTACGAAAGAAGCCCATAGATGTTGAACAAACGCATGATCTGTCTGTTTTAGTTGGGATTGGTCGTCGAAATCCTTATGCTGCTGAAGTGCATTTTAGCTTTAGTTTTTTTAGTGATAGTTGGGATTGTCTACATTGTAGCGAGACTTTGATAAATTAATACCTTGTGTGGTAGCATGCATGTCGTATAATTAACTAATTATGTTCTAAGTTTTAATATGGTATGTATGTCATATAATGTAGATGAGCCGACATTGGATGTACAATGCTAATCGCCGCTCCCAAGAGTTCATTGAGGGCGTGCATTCTTTCTTACGTGTGGCCGAGGCAAACAAACGCGATGATTTCATGTGCTGCCCATGTGCTATATGTAAGAATTTGAAGGAATATGCTAGCTCAAGGAGTCTTCATTCACATTTGTTGAAGTCGGGTTTCATGCCAAACTATATTTGTTGGACGAAGCACGGAGAAACCGGGGTTGTAATGGAAGAAGGTGAAGAACAATGGGACGATGATGACATTATTGTTGAATATGGTGCCTTCAATGATACTACAATGGGGGA